GGCTTAAAAACAGCGGTTGTAAAACCCACTTCCCTGGGATGCCAAAACAAACGGTCTTTGGCGCTAAAAGCCGCCAAATGAGTGCACGTTACGGGTGTCGTTCGCCTCATGTGTTCACGGTGCGGCGGAGATGAATGTTGAGCAATCATTCAGGGGCGACGATCGTTGGTGAACGTTACACATAAACGGATTTTAGTGGAGTTGGATAGCCGTAGGTCACGCTACCCACCCCCACATGAAGATAACGTATCGAGACAGATACACGCAGAAGGACTATTTGCATTTCAGTTGACAGACTGCACTTTTACAGCCAAGAGAAATGGGCTCACGAGAAATGCGCGTATTATTTGGAGCGCGATGATTTCACACCCACAGGCTGCAATAAACTTAATGAGGCTTATTATTGGTTTAAATGCATATAATCAGTATTAAACGTATTTTCAACTATATATATTTATTCACGTATCCTTTGGGTGAAAACGATATAAATATATAAAAACTTTTAATACATATATATTGAAATAAATAACGATACACAAATATAACGTTAATTTATTAATTCACTCATTAATTAGTAAATTAATAAATATGTGACTTAATTTTAAATATTAAATAAATCACAAAATTAAAAAAAATATGACTGACTGGGCTGGGTTTTTTATTTAGATATTAAATATTTAAATTAAATATTTGCAGGTTAAGTTTTCCTGTGTTTTTATGTATTTGCAACAAATGTTATTAAACATTTATTTTGGTATTTTATTTATTTATTTTTTATTTTTTCACTTTTACTGAAGTCTTTAAAAGATAAAAAAAAGATACTTGGTTTAAATCTTTATACCAGAATAAAATCAATTATAAATATGCAGAATAAAAACATTTCCTTTTAGTCCCAGAACAACTATGCTTTTGTATGTTCTCAGTAATCAATTCATTTATTTTAATGTGAATTAAAAGTAACTACTAGGATCATCCTGACCTTTGATAGGGCCTTTTCCATGTTTTTTTTTTTCATTAGCTATATTTTAGTTATAGTGATTTAAATGCATTTAGCCTTTAAATAGCTACATTTTGTTGTAAAAGGAATTACATTTCCCTAAAATCTTTTTTAAGAATCATTAGCCTGTGAAAATCATTGCATTGGTTCCATTCTGAACAATTCAAGTGAAGCTGGACATGGTTTAAAATAATAATAATATTTTCCTGTTTACTTTGCTTGTGTCCAGAGTTTCTAAGCTTTCACTACACTACGGAGAACAGGATGTGAGCTGACTTGACCAGGCCTGCTAGAGATATCAGGAAATGAATAACACGGGGTAATAAAATGAACAAATACATACAAGAATTGTAAGAAAATGCCAAGAAAATATATTAAGACTAGTCTACAACAGCCTGGAAGTTTAACAATGCAAAATGAGGATGCCAGCTTCGAGTTGTGGGTTTGCAAAAAAAAGAACAAGGAAAGGGAAGTTGGGGGTGGTGTCTCCATACAGAGAGTAAGCTGTGTGTTAGGGCCATGTGGTCTGGTGGGGAGATAAAGGCATCTGGGACTATGGTTTCTGTTTCCAATTTCCGAAAATCACATTAGCATCATTAAATATGGTTTAGTCAGAATTGCTGCTGCTGTCTGTAGACAGAATAATAAAATGTTACTGGTTTAGAAATTAGTATAGTATCCATATCAAGCAAGCAATATTTTCAATACATACAGATTAGATATATAAAACAAACCTGACTTATCTTTCTTAAGTCAATGACAGTAAATCAGTAACAGTAAATCAACCTTAGATCCTTATGGAGGTCCATGAAAAGGTCATCCTGAGATAGTACTATAGGTATAGTTTAAAATATAAATACTAATACTAAGCTGATTCTCTCTGGTCTTTTCTGAATAAGCTATTGTTTAGCTGTGTGGCCGGCTGGTCATCCAGCTTGATTAGCTGAAAAGTGCCCAAAAATGCTCTAAAATCAGCCAACAGACCAGGCTGAGACCAGCTATAAACCATCTGGTAAAGATATTTTCTTTTCACCAGTGCAGGCTTGTTCAAATTGAATCGATGTTAAATTAAATATAAAATGCAGCTTTGAATGCCAGGCTAATTTGAACAAACACTATCTGAATATTGTCATATGTCTGATAAGCTACTGTGTGTTTGTGTATGGACAACATGGCTCATAGACCGGCGTTTCTTCGCATGGCCACTAGAGGACAGTTAGTAGTGTCAACGATAAAGCGACATCGACAGCTAAAGTTGGCCAATGATTCCTCATAAGACTAGTAAAACGACAACAAATAACATGCTAATGTGTGTGATTTGTAGGCGTTCCCACGATATGCGAGTAAAGGACACAGAGTGTATTAAACTATTTTATACCTTCACATTACCTTGTGAATTGGTCACCGATCGCTCTCAAATAAAGTTTGTTGAAAATCCCTTCTTCTAGTCCTTCCTGTTTGCAAAGATGGAGGCAGAGGGAATGTTGGCCCCGCTGTCACTCTCTGCTGAGTTTGAGGGGTATGTCTTTATGATCATAGATATGATTTGATGCTTCACCGTTGACGTCGTTTATATGAAAATAGGTTACGGCACGAAATGTATCGTCTGTTTACATGTTGTTCGGTTATAACGAATGAATGCTGCGTTTAGTCAAATAGGCAGGTCTTACAATCTTGTCAATGGCTGTGTTTCAAAACAACCCATTGGTATGCCTGCCTTAACAGCATTTATTTGCAACATTGGCAGTTTAAAGTCATGCACTGTCGAAACTCGCATATAATGCCTGTCTAGAAATGCAGTCTGTAGTTGACAAACCAGCTTTCGAGACGCATTCATTTCAGTGGCCATGCCGCTGCTGGATGTGGATGTAATGACATCCATTATTATCACCTAGTGATGGACTTTGACTTATTCCTCAAGTTACTAGTGCTAGTGAAACCTATTTTTCTGAATCACACAATTTACGTCTAAAATGTTTAATATTCCCCATTTCTAGGTCCTTTGCCTATCTGACTGTGAGAGACAGACTCCCAACCATACTCACAAAAGTGATAGACACGTTACACCGCAATAAAGACAATTTCTTCAAAGAATATGGAAAGGTATATATGATCTTTGCTTTTTTTTTTTTTTTACATTTAGCAGTGTTATAGTTTCATGTTATTCATAAAATAAAACAGCCTGCCTGTACTTGTTTTCCCAGATTTAACTTCTATACAATGTGTTTTATCAGGAGGGGATCCAGGCAGAGAAGACGGCCATCTCCTTCCTGTCCAAGCTGAGGAATGAACTGCAGACAGACAAACCTGTGCTGTCTCTGACTGATAATGCTGAGGACTCAGAGGCCTGGAATGAATACATGCGAAGACAGCAGGACCTGATGGAAGACGGGAGGCCTGTCAGCTGGTTCAAGTCACCATGGCTCTATGTGGAGTGTTACATGTACCGGAGGATCCAAGAGGCTCTGTATATGAAGTAAGGCAAATCAGCTTACGACCATACATTGAGCAATCAAAAATTCAGTGAAATTATTACTGTGATTATTTTCACAGTTTACACAATTTAATTAAAAGTCAAAATATCGTAAAGTTTAACTGAACTTCATCATTTAATAGTAAAAAATCAACTTTTTTCTATATAATTTATTAATGATATACTCAATCATTAAATAAGTAGTCATCTTAGTCTTCAAATGGACACATGGTCATATGGCATACATTAATTTACAATTAAAATGGTATTAATTAGGTATTTAAAACAAGTTAAATTAATGGGTAAAATCAGCAATAAGAAAGAAAGTTATTTTAATAAGAGAACAGATTTATAACAGGAAGACCACTGAAATATGTACAGGTCTAAATGAATTTAAAGGTATGGCTTGCCTTAGAAATGCTATAGTGTTGCAATTGATGAAATAGTTTACATAATTTTTAGAGCCGTTGTAAATTAAAGGCACTGATGGTCATTTAAAGCGCTATCTTAAATGTGCTTTAAATATTTTTGTAATCAATAATAGTGATTTAATAATTAACCAAGATTAATTGTACTCTCCATGTTGCATTGGTACATTTTGAATTGTTTAACTGACGTGTTTCATTTTGTTTCCAAAGTCCACCGATGGATAAGTTTGACGTGTTTAAGGAGGGAAAGACGCAAAGCTTCTTTGAATCTCAACAAGCCATTAAATCCCTCTGTACATACCTTCAGGAGCTCATCACTAACATGGAGAACATGACTGAGATTCAGCTGCGAGACAACTTTCTCAAGTTACTCCAGGTTAGTGTCTCCGTGATCCTAGCTGCAGCGTATAATGATCCCTTCCATTAAAAACAATTGTTATTGGGACATTGTTTATATGACATCAGAACACAACATCAAAAACTAGGAAAATCATCTTGTTTGCATGGAGATGGAAGATTCTAAGTGAATTCAGTGAGCCATAAGCTTAAAGAGTCACATCTTTAATTTAGAACAGAGAATCTTGTTACCCGAATGACATCCAGTTTGTGGTGCCAAGTAACATGCCTAGGGGTGGCTACTGTTTTCAGCATGCGCTTGTGTACTTTATTGATATTACACAGTTGGTGATAGCATAATGCCACATAATCTGGTTTACTGTGTGTTTTGAAGGTCTCTCTGTGGGGAAACAAGTGTGATCTGTCCATCTCTGCCGGTCAGGACAACTCTCAAAAGTCCAGTCCCATCGATTCTCTTCCTGATTTCCAGCGCTTCATCCTAGTGGATGACTCCAGCATGGTTTGGTCAACGCTGGTTGCTGCTCAAGGAGCCGGATCCTCTGGGATGAAGCATGCCAGAGTGGACATTATTTTAGACAATGCTGGTTTTGAGCTCGTTACCGATCTAGTCCTTGCTGACTTTCTTGTTTCTGCCGGACTAGCCAAGCAAATCCGATTTCATGGCAAGTCCATCCCGTGGTTTGTCTCAGACGTCACCAAACAAGACTTTGAGTGGACCATCATGCAGACCATGGCAGCCAATCACAAGTGGATGTCAGCCAGCAGTGTCCAATGGAAGCATTTCATGAAGGAGGGTACATGGTCTTACCATGACCACTTTTTTTGGACCTTACCCCATGAGTTCTGTGACATGGCGATGGATGCAGCTGATCTCTACAGCACTCTCCAGGGCTCTGATCTGATTCTCTTCAAAGGAGACCTTAACTACCGGAAGCTTACTGGAGATAGGAAATGGGAGCACACGGTTCCGTTTGATCAAGCGCTGAGGGGGTTCCAGCCTGCCCCTCTCTGCAGTCTCAGGACACTGAAGGCTGATGTTCAGGTGGGCTTAAAGCCAGGCCAGGCCGAGAAGCTCAGCTCTCAGGATCCAGACTGGATGACTAATGGCAGATATGCAGTGGTTCAGTTTTCCAGTCCATGCAGAGAACAGTAGGGTCATTTTTAAAGAAAAGAGAGTCCTCACTAAAGAGGAAATTGCTGAGAAGAAAGAGATGAAGGAATAAAATGCACTGAAGATGCTGGTTTAGTTGCCAATATGCCAAACAAATGTTTTGTTGTTTTATCTTTGCTTGTATAACAGTTGTTTCGGTTGGAAGCAAATCACGTAGTGAATCCTACCGATTGTGCATATCAAACACTGAAATTAATCTTAACCTAAATAATGTCCTTGTTGACCATCTCTTGAACACAGTATAAGATGTTCTGTTTGCACTGCTGATCTGTATTGTGTAGAAGTACAGTTACTTAAAAATACAGATGTAAACATGGCAACAACAAAAAAAAAATCATATGAATCCATACATGTGTTGTTTAGTATGATACACAGTAAATAAAAAAGATACTGAACCTGAATTTTAACTTCTAGTTAAATGCTATTGACCAAAACACCTTCAGAATAGTGAGAAAGGTATATGCATTTGGGCTAAAAATGTGCAGTATATAGATCTTTTTTCTTTTTTCTTGTTCAAATGTTCTAAATTATGGGCTTTGCATGGAGTGCATAATTGAAAATAACCAATTAAAGAAAACTCTTTTTAATAAAACAATTCTAGTAGTGTAATGTCAACATGGAATTTATGAGGAGGGATTTGAATGTAAAGGGATTTGAAGTGCCGTCCAATGTTTTATTATTATTTTATTTTTAATTTTAAACAAAGCACAAATTCACAATGATTTACTAACGTCATCATAAGGAAATACGTTCTGCTTTCTGGCTGACAAAAAACATACTGACCATACATATCTCAAGAGAGTTATTGTTTACAGTTTGGATTGACTAGCACTTTCAAAGCAAGTTTACCAGGTTTTCCAGTGTCTGTTGGGATGAAAATTGCACCATGATGATTTCTTTTAGTTTATTTATGAGCATGCTGGAAACAGATGCTAGTCAGGATACCGTGTTTATGTACTCACACTTGTTAAAATGATAACTGTTTTGAAAACTGAATGCCACTGAATAAAGTTTAGTATGGAGCCAGAATGATCTCAATAATAATTCACGCAAAAGACGCGATGCACACATGCGTAACCCAATTCACATGCATAAGAAATATTACACGTGCACAGTATATATATATATATTCACAAAAACCAATTAAAATGCACAAAATAAGAATATATATTCATAAAATACGTTTCACAAATGCAAAACCCAATTCACAGAGGTACAAATGTGTACAAAATTTTTGAATGTTAAAAATGCACGAGTTTATCATGGGCTGTGAATGTGAATCGCCTTGGATTTGTGCGTGAATTTTGAGACTGTCCTGGCAGCGAGCTCCTCCCACGCGGGACACTCATACTCTTTAGCCAATCAGATTTGACCCTGTCTGATTATTAATTTATTAAAGTTTTCTGAATACTTTGGGAATAACATGTCCATGAAATGACCTGATCACGATTAATTGCAATGTGCCTGTAACATGAAATATGAATTGACAATTATGGAGTACAAACGTAGCACAGTTGAATATGTTTCTCACATAGGTCTGAGATTGGCTTGATACCAGTTTGACGCTGTGCTAGAAGTTCACCAGTATTTAAACCTCAGTTACACTGAATGGCTGGTATAGTGTCCAATTTAGTGTCTTTAGCATTATTTTAAAGTAAATTTTATGGCTGAATGATAATTGTATCCGTGTAATACATCATGTGAAAAGTCAATTAATCAAATGTTTAAGATCCAGTCTTTCACTATCTCTTTCTGTCAGGACGTGCCAGGTTTTGGTCTGATATTCAAAGCAATTAACACCGTGGCATGTTAACTCTTATATTTTTACAAGAGATGCAGATACAGAAAGCATGAGATAAAGTGATAAAAGAACTGAATAAAGATTACTAAATAATCTTTGTTGCATTCTTCTTTATGATCAGTCTTTGTCTGACCAGCATAAATTCCACAACTATTACCAAGCACATACAACTGCTGCTTACCAAAATCGTCTTGTGATGTAAAAATCTTTGAGATTACAATACACAACACAACATAAGAATAACATTAACAACGGTTAATCACAGTAATATAATATGAAAAGTAAATGAATGTTGATTACATTAATAAATTAATACATAAAGGTGATGTAATTAGTGTGTACTAATTGAACACTGCATCCTGTTGCACAAATGGGAAGTACAAATATCCCGTTGTTCATACACCGAGTTCTCATGTGGTCTATTCATCACGCTATAGTTATGAAGGCAGGGTCAGCGCTAAGTGGCAGCTAGGCTGGACATTGGCCACCGAGTGTTAGTGAACAAAAACAGGGCAATGAGTATAATCCCTTTCTTCATTTTGGCCAGACATTGTGGCTAACACAAGACAGCTGCATTTTTGGGAACACTGTCTGTATTCATAGCAGCCTCTGGCTTACATTATTCTAAACGACCGATTTAACTTCCAAGTTTTAAGTAAACATGCAAAAATAAAACGATAAACCTTTACTTGGCTAGTTAACTGAAATAAAGCGATCAACTGCACTTACCTCTGCTAAATCATAACTTGAACGGTGGTCTCGCGCTGATGACGTCAGCATCCAGGTAGGCACGCCCAGGGCACGCGATTCATACGCCCACAGTGGGTTATGATTGGTCGACTGACAGGCTCAAATCTGATTGGCTAAAGACTACGCTGGCAGAAGTGTTCCTGGTGTGGGCTCATGCTGCTTGTTGACCTATCCTTTGAGAGCGCAATTTGTTTACTTTCACAGTATGTTTTGTGTGTGTGTGTGTGTGTGTGTGTGTGTGTATGCTTCCTGGGAATCCAAGGAGCCGTGCCTCCATTCTACAGAGCAAAGAAATTAGTCAAAAAAAAAAAAACTCACAAAGAATTGATGTTACGTAATAATCACGTGAACGCTATCTTTTTGTGTTTAGGGGTCAGCGGAGGACTGTGTACATGCTGTTTTTCCTGAAAATCAAGGCCATGGGTTTGGTCTTTGAACTGTTCTAGTTCTCTTACAGCAAGAGCTAAGCTCAAAAGTAGACTTAAAGATTTCAGCTGGCCTTGTTTTTTATTTAGTGCGTTGTTATCAGAAACCTGCGGGCAGCAGATTGAGACGCGTACACTTTGCATACATCATGCACACTGCATCACATAAAATGTTATCAATACAGTTTGTTTAATTATCAGCTCTATTTTTGTAAAAGTAGATAGCTAATAGTCAGCATGTTTTAATTTAATGCATTAGCAGCCATTTTGTTTGAGGACAGTGCTGCATATATTTTAATTAGAACAACAAATTATTATAAAAAAATATATATATCCACTACTTGGGATTGTCCTAAATTTGTAAGATTCAGTAAGATTTTTTAAATGTTTTTTAAAGAATTCTCTCTTCCCACAGAGGCTGGATTTATTTGATCAAAAACAGGCTACAGTAAGAGTGTAATATTGTCAGATATTATTACAATTTAAATGTTTTTTTTTATTTTAAAACCTTTAAACTGTAATTTCCTGTGATGGCAAATCTGAATTTTAAGCATCATTACTCCAGTCTCAGTGTCACATGGCCCTTCAGAAATCATTCTAATATGCTGATTTGGTGATGTTGAAAACAGTTGTGCTGCTTCATAATTTGGTAGAAACATTGATACTTTTCCCCAGGGTTCTTTATGTTTAAACTTATGGCTGAAGTTTAAATGAAGAAACTTTTTTTTTTTAAATAGAACTCTTTGTAACATTACTGAACAATTTATGCACCCTTTCTGAGTTAAAATAATGTATGTATTAGTGTATATTTTAGCACACATGCAGTTAGACAGAATTACTGTCAGTAAAAAATATGTTATAATAATGTTCCTTTTTAAAAAGGGAAATCAAAACTCAATTACTCAAGTTTCCAACGCAGCATTTAATAAAGAGCACCGACACCTACACACTTTCCATTTCAGCTTTAAATAGCTGCCAGTACAGAGAAATTATTAGGATCAAACAGACTTGTTTGTCCCTTGTGAGCTGAACAATATTTCATTCCCTTATTTAACCTTTTGCAAAAATCTTTCAACAAATGTAATCAATTCTCTGAAGTATAATTTCCGATGGGGACAGCATATAAAGTGGTTTTAAAACACATCACCTGTAAAATCCAAAGGGTTTGGCAAGTGAATCAGGCGGTGACCTCCTATCTCTTGTTTACCTGGTTGCCATGACCTGCTCTGAAGAGTGACTGCCAGTATCGACCTGGCTGTCTTTAATTTGTTTACCTCCTCTTTTTTTTTGTCAGAACCACAGACAGTGAAAGCAAGAAGGACACAGGAAGTCAGAGATACATCAGCGAGGGGATGCACCCAGTCTACTTGTGATGTGGCTAAACTTATTAATCAGAGGACTGGTTTGAATTTTGGTAAGGACTACTTAATAACTCATTCTAGTCTTTTTAGTTTCCACAAGAAACAATATTCCATGTCTATTGCTCTAGTGGTTTATAGCCTAATCAAGCATTTCTTTCTATTATTAGTAGTTTCAGTTGAGTTTCCTGTCCTCTCTTTCCTGTTTAATAGAAAAGCACCTCACATCAGACTTGACATCTTGTGCAGTTGCTCGTATTTTATCCTTCCTTAAGTGTAATATTTAAGGCTACAACAAGGAATTTTTGTTAGAATAGTAGTTTTAGATACTGAAAAAAAGAAAGAGATGGAAAATATAAAAAAGGGTATTTTAAGAAAGAAAGAGATGGAAAAGCAGCCTCACATATGTATCTTAGAAAAACATCACACTTTGTCCTTTCAGCTCAAGGCGGACTGGAGGAAAGAGGAAGGTATTTTTTATTTTTTAGGAAGGAGTAGGCAGAACAGCGGGGCGGAAGCAAACAGAACAAGGGGGAGAGAGTTTGAGAAAGACAGTGGGAGGTAAAAAAAAAGACAGCTTAAAAAAGACAAAAACGGTCTTTTGGTGGTTGCTTATGAACAGATAGTACCTTAAGTCATGCTGGCTGCGTGTGTGTTTCCATGGTGATGTCTGGAGGGCAGACCAGCCAAGAGGCTGCTGGTGCCAGGCAGCGACGCAGGACCAGCCCGAGACCGGAGAGAGAAGACCTGGAGGGACTTTCCTCACCACCCACTGCCCACAAACTCTCACCCATGTACCCTAAGGAGGAGCACAGCACGGGGGGGATCAGTTCCTCTGTCAACTATCTTGATGGAGCCTATGAGTTCCCAAACCCCACACAGACCTATGGCACCTCGTCACCCGCCGAGCCTGCCTCGGTTGGATACTACCCAGCTCCCCCGGACCCCCACGCGCCCCCTGCTGAAGAACATCTGCAGACCTTAGGCACCGGATCCGGCAGCCCTCTCATGTTTGCACCCTCCAGCCCTCGGTTGTCCCCGTACCTGAACCATCATGGGGGACACCACTTGACCCACCAGGTGTCTTGCTACCTGGACAGCCCTTCTTGCACCGTCTACAGGTCAGTTCAGCTTTAAATACCAGCTTTGGTTGTGGTCATGTTTTGGACACTTTTGTAAGTGAAGAATTCAAACTAAAGTTTTGAATGAACAATTTACAAGTTCATGAATTTATTATACACAACTTTAAGAGATATATTGGATTTAAGACATTTTATAGACATTGAAAATGTTTCTTCTCTCTTAACATCAAGTTTCTATTGCCATTTTCATGGTGAAATCCAGGTTAAAATTAAAAAGTAAATATAATAGAAAAAAAAACGATATAAGATGTTTAAGATTATAAAACAGACATGAAAATATTGCCAGGTGTCCAGTTAATCAGATGAGGTGGTTCTGGAGGTAATTTACACCAGATTTCTGATTCATCGAGGCATAATATTTGGTTTAGCACTCAAATCTTGCTTGGATACCTGCTTACCAAGGTTCATTTTTACTAACAACACCTTACATAGACAAAGCCTGGTGAAACAATTCTGGCACATTTTGTGAACATGTTTAATTTGGAAACAAACCATGACTAATTGATGTAATAAATTGAGTACCATTATTAGCCAACACTTGAACATTTAAACTAAACTTTTTGTTTTTTTTTGTTTTATAATATTTCAATATTATTGTTTTTCTTGAGTAAACATCTTTTTAATGTGCCTAATGGGTTATGGCTATAGATTTGTGGGTTGTGTATGACCAACATTTAATGCTAGATGGTCATGATGGCATTTGTTTTCTTTTTGAATTGAAGAACGAGTATTACTTCATATTACAGTGGTTTACACATTTTTTCCCCCCTGCAGGACACGTTGAGTGCTCTCTGACTAATTATGATTTGTTTTATTTGTTGTTATTTTATGTTCTAGGTTTGTGCTGTTAATTATTAGAATTTATTGACTTCTTGGAAAGAAGAAGGTTAGGATTTTTAACATTTGCAGAGCCTCTGATCAAATTCTGTCTCTAGACCTTGAGGAAAGTACAATTAGTGAAAACAACAGTGGTACTGTCTGAACACACAGGGAGTACTTTTTTATTTTTTTTTTATTTTCAGAAGAACTGAAAGGAGATCTGGTACAGTTAATGGATTAATAAAAAAAATGCAGCACGTGTTGAATAAACTATTATTAGTAAAGCCTAATGTTTAAATTTGTTGTTTACTTCTGACGGATGAGAATATTAATTCATCCACTGCTTTAGGCTGCTTGGGGACCCCAGTTGTCATCTGATGACATTGGACAGCACTGCAGTTCATTTTTGAGGTTATGCAATAAATCTGTTGGACATCAGAATTAAAGATAAAATATTTACAAACACTAGAACAAGAGGTCAGAAGGAAATGGGGATGGTCACACTTGTCCCGTTTGCAGTCACGTACACATTCTCCTTGGAGATTACAAATTTGTATCTAAAGATATTTTATATACATATAAAATATCTATAATTTATATTTAGTTATTTATAAGAATGCACAGTTTTATGGTACCATATCGGTTATCGGACGATATTAGGGATCATTTTTTAATTATTATTTCCCATATCTGCCATTTATTTTAACATTTATATGCTCATTTTGAAGTTCATCTTAAATCATGTTGTGTGGCCTAAATTCACTTGCAACTTTTAACCTAACTGATTTTAGATTTTATTGTTTAATTTTTAACGTATTTAGATAAAATAGAATCGATTTTAATATCTACAATAAGATAGAAGAAGACATAGGCCAGAATTTAAATAGCTACTGCTGCAGGAAGCGTGAATGACAACCCATCAGTCAGTTATCCTGGTTTCTATCATCATCCACTCTATCTTGACATCTTCCCCTTTTCTGTCTGTAGGTCCAGTGTTGTGTGTTCTCAGCAGGCAGGTGCTGGTTTGTGTGAGGAGCTGTGCAGTGTCACTGACAGACAGGAGTTGTACTCCGGATCAAGAGCCGCAGGAGGGTTTGATTCCGAGAAGGAGACGCGCTTCTGTGCGGTGTGCAGTGACTATGCGTCTGGCTATCATTATGGAGTGTGGTCCTGTGAGGGATGCAAAGCTTTCTTCAAGAGAAGCTTTCAAGGTAGCCAGTCTGTTACACGCACAGTCTTGCTTTTCTGAATATCAGCGTGACTATGATTCTGCTACAAGTTTTGTTTTAGTGTTTGCGAATGAATCAGTTCAGTATATTATTAAATACCACTTTGAAAGAAAGCCACTGTCGCCACCTACTGGCGTATCGATGTAAGAAAGAGTCCCCTAAAATATCTACCAAGAATGCACAGACAGAAACTTTTTTTGAGTGGGGAATTGCTTAGCTTGAGTAATGCGCAAAATAAATAAATAAATAATTAAAAATACAGACGAAAAATAAAGAAACTCGAGCGCAACGGGCAAACACGTCTAGCCTAGCGCATGCATGTTTACATAGAAAAATGATGGAAAACGCGTTCTGTGTTAAGTAAACAACCCCTCAGTTCTTTTAAATCACCACTCAGTCAGTCAAATTCGAGGAACTATTCGAGGTAATAATGGTAATTTTAGAAGACCTTTCAGATTTACTTAATTATAAAACACTTTATAATCTATAACATTTATTAACAACTTATTTAATATTTTCTCTAAACCTTCTTGTAGGCTATATTAAGACAAGCACCTGCAATTATGGCCAAATTAAAGATATGTTGTGTGTGAATTTCACGTTATAATGTAGGCTAAGCATCATTAATGACTCCTTGTGTTTAATAAAATAAAAAAAGCCTGATTAGTGAAATTAAAGAATGATTTAATAAAAAAATGAGAATGATTAGTGTCTCTAATTGGCCAGTTTAGCTAAGGCCTCAAAAAACTTCTTATTTACTGGTACAATATTGCATGATTTGTAGATTTAGTTTACACTTTGCAAAAATGTTTGCAGTTAGTTTTTAATATTACATTCTTAAGGGCTCTACACTTACATTTCTTTTCAGGAGCACTAGTGCTCCTACTTAAAAAAAATACAAATAAATTGGAACAGACACCTTCTGGTCAATGACAGAAATTAACCTTCCCATTGATATTTGACTACTTTTTTTTTTTACTTTTGTAATGCCATTTTTCTAACTTTATTAAATGTATGTCATCTTTTGTGCCAAAAATTTAGATTTATAAATTATTCTTAAAAAAATTTAATTAAACATTAAATTACATTAAAATAATAAGATGCAATCAGGAAGAATAAGTTACCAGTCAAATGAAATCAGAATCAACAATTCATCTTTGCATGGCGCAGAAGAGCACAAATGTGGCATTAAGGAATATTTACAGAATTTTTGACAAGACTCAGAGGTGGCATTAATGCATCTCATAATAACAATGTTATGAGATTAATGTTTTAAATATAAAGTTTTGAATATAGAAATTTAAATGATTAAATGACTCAATTTATACTTTAAAAATGAAACTGAAACCGCCAGTAGGTGGCAGCAAGTCACTGTCTTTGTCACTGAATCATTCATTCAATCGATTCGTTCAAACGGCTGATTCATTTAGGAACGAAGCAAGTGACTGTCTTTGTGAATGGATAATTGAATCATTGACTCACTAGATTTGTTCAAAAACAAAGATCCATTCATAAACGAAACAGCGCTGTGGCAAAGACTATAGGTAGATGCTCAGTGGCTCAGCTGTGACTGTTTTTGAACTATATTTTTGTTGAGCAAAATAGACAACAGTGTTCCTAAAATGTAAGTCACTTAATTAACGCCTATTAACTTTTGTATAAAATCACAAATGTATAAAACTGTTGTATAAATTCAATTTCACATTTGCAAACTCTCTTTATAATCATTAAAAGCTGTTACCCTCCTTAGTTCATCGCGATCTCACAAACCTCCATTTTAATGCATGACGCTCTCTACACTGCACACTGAATCTATTATTTACATCGTCTCTACACTTTGTTTGTTACAATGAATGACAAAAACTTTAGTCTGCTTTCACGATCTGTGCTGTGAGGAGCAGCACGCGCAATGATAGAGAAGCATTTCTATTGGCTGCAGTCTGCAAGTATTATGGCAAAAGACTGCAAAACACAGCGCTACGTTTATATGCAGAACTGGGTCTTTTGAATGGATAAAATATAGAAATCACTTTAATTTCCAAATAAACCTAAACAGTTGGAAGTGAAACGCCGACCCCCCTCGAAATTCACGTGCTGGCAAAAAGAAAAAGAGGCCTAATTCGATTTTCCTTGATTTTCTAATAGTCATTTTCAAGTCAAGGCCTTACGCTTCCAAATACAATTTCAAATGTGTGAATGCATGCCACAGATAATCATCCTTACATGCTCCCTACTGCCCTTCCTTTTAAAGCTGATAGAAAAAGGTGAAAATCAAAGTCTCCCATGTGCTAGATCTGATGAGAGGCTGCCTGATATGTACAATGGAAGCACACAGATGTTTCTGCTCGCACCTTATTTGCAGTTCTGTATTGCGTTGGAAGGGGGTGCAGATCTGGGTGGGTTTGGTGAAATGAGAGGCCGGGTAGATGTTTTGAGCTTGACCTTGACATGCAAGCGCCTGATGAGCGCTTTCCTGGGGCAGGTAACTGCTGCTGACTTTAACTGCCATTCTGGTGAGGAAAACGGAGCAGAAAACTGGAGAAAAATTGCTGTGTGTACCAGACAAATGGGTTTTAGGACACTGTATGAGGGGAATTACAGTAAGAGAGTGTAGAATGATAGACAGCCAAGATGTTTAGGAGAGACAGACCATCAGGACAGGAAGGCAGAGAGAAGAGCAAATAAATACATTTTGGATTTGGGTTTCATAAAGGATTAAAAAAAAAAAGTAGTCTATGTATAATTTAAGTTGCTTATATACAGTTGTTTTAATATAATACGATCCCAGCAATAAAACAATAGTTACAATGCAGATCCCTATATTCACAGTCTTTAATACATTTTTTAAATAAAAAATGTACTTTAAAGAATCCTGTGGAGCCAGTGCTAAATTAAAGTAAAATCACTTTCACTGTAAAATATATCTAAAATATACATGGTATAAACTGCACATATAATTAATATAATACAAACTACATAAAAACATATTAAAATAACTTGCCCATCAGAAATTTTTTTTTATTGCTGAATCCTGATATACATTTTCCCTGAGTGAGCTGCCATTTGGTGGATACCGTTTTAGGCATTTGTGATTGTTAAAGTGATTTTGTTGAGCAGTAGTTTCAGGGAGTAACCAGAGTCTTTCTAAAGGGCTCGGTGGTGATTTGCTCTCTACAGTTTCCAGGTCATTTGTGCTGGCCACCCAAAATAGCTTATTAACCTAAAATGTGTTTACAACCATTATCTTGTTAACATCCAAATTTTCATATGTTTTGGATTCTCTGTTGTAGAATATGGCATTATGATTATGTGCATGGTTTAATACAGTGGTTTGGATGTCAGTGTGTATGTGTTTTTGTGTAGGTCTGTGACATTTCAGGCTGAGACACAATCATCTAATTTAAAATTTCATTTGGAGTGCTGGAACAGCATGTACCTGCTCTCAGCGCTTAATCAGATCCAAGGCCGTTGATGCGCTGCACTGCACTCTTTGTTGCTTTTGACAGAACAGTATACAGTACAAAGTTAAAAAAGGAAAGCATCTCTGAAAGCTGATCTTAAAAAAGTACTTTACTGTTTAAGCAAGAATTCGAGGGTAAAGCAATGATCAAAAACAAGCCCTACTTCATTTTTCTGCCTCTAGGTCATAATGACTATGTTTGTCCGGCAACCAACCAGTGCACTATTGACAGAAACCGCAGGAAGAGCTGCCAAGCATGCAGACTACGCAAGTGTTATGAAGTAGGCATGATGAAAGGAGGTACATAAAAGATTTCTCTTCCTTTCTCTCTCTTTATGTCTGTCATGATCTCCCACATTTAAAGCAGCATCTAGAGTAGAGTTTCCCCTACTTCTGTCTAGGGTTGGGTAACATTCAGAATTGAATAATGGACTAATATTTAGTTTAGGATTAATATGTGTACATTTGAATAGAATTGGCCACAACAGTGAATGATTACTTTATGTACTATTACTTATTATATACTATTTTATTTATGAAACCTTTTCCATCTTGGTTAATGTTTGTTAATTTCTTTATGTGTGTGTGTGTATATGTGAGCGAGAGAGATAGAAATTAAATAAACATTTAATTTATATTTAATGTATTAAATTATATGTTATATATTTTACTATTTATAATTATTCATATGTAAAATATTAAATACAATTTTGTAATTTGCTTCTACCTACAGGCCATCAGAACTCTAAACACTCTGTAATGCTCACTCACACTCACAAATATGTATACACACACGTATACCTCATGATGATTATTTTCCTTTACAAAGAGCATATGCACTTTAAAAACATACTACACATATTACAGGACTACATTTTTTTTTGTATTATATTGCACTAATGTAAAATGCCTGAGCCTCAACCTAAGTATTTCAATGTGCAAATTGTCACTGACTTTGTACATATGATAAATAAACTTGAAATTGAAAGTATACTTTTCCATGTTAATTGTTTAGGGATAATTCACACTGAAAAAAAAGAAGAAAAATCAAACATCGTTTGAAATACGGAAATAATTCACACTGAAAACAAATACTTAAAAAATCTGACTGGTTTGAATCTGACTAATTCAAACTGGTAGGCTATACTTTAATTCTGCTAAATTGGAACAACTAATTTTGTACTTAATGCACTTAACCCTCTGGTGTTGAAAAAAAAAGTTAGAAAATTTTAAAAATTACTATTCATTGGAATGGTACGAAACTCTGTGACTTTTATGGCAGTCGCTATGTGCCAACCTCCGTAGGACCGCCATAGGAAATAAATGAGAAAAATACGAAAATACAAAGACGTTTTTGTGTGTACAATCTACAAATCAGCCACAATGCAGAAAAAAAGAGCACAGCAATGAAGGGGTGACAAAATTGTGCCTGAAAACACTGCTCAGTAAATAAGGAATACACAGCACTATATGGCTATTACAGGTGATTTTCATTATTATTTGTCCACAAGGTGGAACAAATCTGCCTCAATTCAATGGATTTTAAATACTTTTGCTCTATTTTTAACTTAAATATTGCATAAATTGAAAAATTATATATATATTTTTTATAATTTGTTTTACATTTTATACAGAAAATAGTCCATAATTTAGATATTAATATTAAGTAGTAAAATGAAATACAATCAAAATGCAAAATATTAAAGAAAAAAACATTATTGAAATGAAATAAAATCAGTACACAATTATGGTCTGTTTTGACCGGCGAACAACACAAGTGTGACTCCCAAATGACCAATACCAGAGGGTTACTTGTGTGAAAGTAGTGCTGAAGTCCAACTAAAGATATACTGAAGATCATACAATCCTCATCAATAGTGACATTAAAACACATTTTAGGCTTAATATTAAGAAATATGCATTGTGCACAAGTAGTACTCCAAATAAAATGTAATTATAATTTTTAATCCGTAAGTCTCGAGCGATTTGTCAGTAAATATGTTAATAGATTTGATCTATACTTAATATGAAATAAAATGTATTTTAAATATACTAGGGTGTTCACATGTACTGCACAGTCTTTAATTTTTCTCTGTTGTCAAATAGTTTGAAAATAGGATATAGTAAAAGTAATAATAACCTGCATGTTTTCCATTGCAGGTATTCGTAAGGACCGCGGAGGCCGCGCTATCAGGCGTGACAGGAGAAGGAGCGGTAATGAAGATCGTGTCAAGAGCTACAGTGAGCAGTCTAGCCGCACCGGTCTGAGAACAGCTCCTCTGCAGGACAGGAGAAAGAGCAGCGGTGGTGTGGTCGGTGCTTTATGCATGCCTCCTGACCAGCTGCTGGTGTTGCTTCTGGGGGCAGAGCCGCCGGCCGTCTGCTCACGACAGAAACACAGCCGCCCATACACCGAGATCACCATGATGTCCCTGCTCACAAACATGGCTGACAAAGAACTCGTCCACATGATCGCCTGGGCTAAGAAAGTCCCAGGTAAAACCCTTTCAAAGATCAATTAAAGTTGCTTTAACTGAGAGTGCAACATCAAGGGAGGGGGTTTTAAATCAGAAGGAAGCACTTCTAGGAACAGAACCCCTGGTGACAGCCTTGCCAGTTTTTGTAACCATGGCAAGCAGGTTTTGTCAGCACAGGTGGCAGAGATTCAAATGACAACAAGGTCACAGGCGCAAAGGTAAAGAAGATAGGTGTTATTACAATGATCTGTGCTGCGCCTCAGCTTGATTTGGCCTCCAGCTGAGTTTGCACACATTAAAAGACCTGCTGGGAGTTTTAAGGGAGCCATTATACAGTATCTGATGTTCAGATGTCTTAATTAACCCTCCTCGGAGAAGGAAACAATTGAACTCATGAGATACAGCGGATAAAACCTAAATGTTGTTATATGTGGGTTACAACCCTAAAAATTTCAGGTTCCATAATTATTTACCGGAAGGTGGTAATCATCACTCTTCTAACCCTCCTATACATCATAGAGGAAGATCATTTCAATTATAGGCAAGAAATATGCTGAAGTGGTGAATCATTTTACTAATAGTACTAGTATTAAATGTGATTTGCAACCCATCCTTGTGCTACAGACTTGAATGATACCTCAAATCATGCAGGTTGATGAGAAGAGGTATGCTGTTACTTTCCAAAGTGATGAGTGTCCTAAACCATATCTAGGGACCAGAATATCATAGAGCCAATTAAGTGACTGCCTAGCAACCACCCCTATTACAGCAGCAATAACCACAGAACAGCTGGCCAGAACACAGAATCATTTTGCAGATGCGCCACTGTTATTTTATTCAGAAAAAGTAAAAGTCTATTTTACCTTGTTATTGTTCTTGCTACACAACATACACTACTATTTAAAAACTTGGGGCTGTTAGATTTAAAGAAAAATGTTTTTCAAAGTCTCTTATGATGGGTGCATTTATTTGATTGAACTACAGTAAGAACAGTAATATTGTGAAATATTACAGTTAACTTAAAGTAACTGTTAACTCTACTTAAAGCCTTTACTCCAGTCTTCAATGTGACACGATCATTCAGAAATCATTCCAAATGCTGATTTGATGCTCAAGAACATTTCTTATTACCCTTTAATTAAAATTAACATTATAAATGCCTTTACCGTCACTTCTGAGCACTTGAATGCATCCTTGCTGCCTAAATGTAATAATTTCTTCTAAAGACAAAATTTGACTGACCCCAAATTAGTGAACAGTAGTGTATGAAGCATGAGGTCTCTGTTCTCTCCAGGCTTCCAGGATCTCTCTCTGCACGATCAGGTTCAGTTGTTGGAGAGCTCTTGGCTGGAGGTGTTGATGATCGGCCTCATATGGAGGTCTATTCATTCACCTGGAAAACTCATCTTTGCTCAGGATCTCATCTTGGATAGGTACTGGATGTTCGGCACCTCCTCTTGTAGGCCACTGTAAAATAAGTATTTCCACTTTTTTTGTATACATCCATATTGGAACAACTCATTTAGTGAGGCTATAATAAAACTCGAATCCAATATAATGACTCGCTCTCACTGTTACCATCACATATATTCATCTAGTCAGACATGGAAAAGTGTGCAACCACGCTTTGAGAAGCTTTGAAAACACATTAAATTGTTTTGATTACATTTAGCCTCGCTTGACTGTTAGGAATAATGGAAAAGCACTAACATGCCGTGGCAGAAACCTGCGGGGACACCTGTTATACTCTAATGAAACTCCCGACTTTATTTTAGTCTCAGGCAATCTTACTTGATACTGATGCTGTGAGGGTGATTGTGGGCTTTTCGAGATGTCATACTGACCTGATGCATTCCCTCTGCATGTGCTTATTTTTTGCCTCAATTTCATAAAGAACATTGAGTTGCATGTGGTTTTGTCCCCTTGCAGACGGGATCTGGCCCAGCAGAGGGCCGTGCCTAATAAAATGAGATTGAATGATTATGAAACGAAAACTAGATTGTTAAAAAGGATGTGAACTGTTTATCTGAGTGCCTAGTGCTCCTCTTCAGAAGACCATGTCACAAGTAGATAGTAATTAGGACCCGGTTGGGAACAGGCTCTTTAAAGGGCTTCTGAAGAACAGCGTCATCACTGACAAAGGCAATACGAATCTAATCAAAACCAGCATCCGTAAAAAGTAAAGAGTCGTGAGCTTGGTGGTTTAATAAAGCATCCTGGAGGATGAAGGAGAAAGAGTGAGTAAAAATTTGGATGGGACTGAAAAGATAATATGGCTGAATCAGACAAAGCAAGGACGCTGCTAAGATAGGATAAGAACTGATGAAAGACAAATGAGAGTTTACAGAGAGTCCATTAGAGGTCCAGTCTTTAAGTAAACAGTAAACAGCATATGCAATGTTTACAGCTTCACTAGAGGAGGTGGGGGGGAAAACAGAGCTGTTTTAAGGCACATATCACAGTAAATGGTACAAACAATCTCCCAGCATGGATAAAGTGCAGGTCTACCTCTTTACAGGAGTGAAGGAGAATGTGTCGAGGGGATGGCTGAGATTTTCGACATGCTCTTGGCGACTGTGGCTCGCTTCCGTAGTCTCAAACTCAAGCTGGAGGAATTTGTATGTCTCAAAGCCATCATACTTCTCAATTCTGGTGAGTCTGCAAGTCACAGAGAGTGAAAGAACGTGGCGATTTGAGTACTTTGGAAATAAAATACACTTTGGAGCTTCCAGTGGTATATATTATATTATTAAATGCTCCCTGGAATAATTAATTCCATTACACATGGCCTCATGTTCTGAATACTGTTAAAACATCTTTCTTTCATCTTAGAAATATCGCCAGATTACGTCCAATGTTGTCTTTCCCTGTTGCTGAGAAGTTGATTAACACCTTTGTTTTCTCTCGAATTGACAAATTCTCTTAACATTTTTAAATCTCGCCTTAAAACTTATTTCTTTAGGGTAGCTTTTACTTACATTTTTATATACATTTTATATTGTTTTGATTTCTAATGTGGTTTAAATGTGTTTTTTGCTTATTTTATACATTCTTATATGGTGTATTTTGATGTTTTATTTGTTATGTTAAGCGCTTTGAGAAGTAACATTTAAAAGCACTATAGAAAAATAAAGATTATTATTATTATTTCATTCTGACTGGTCAGTCATGTAGGATCCAATCCACCCACACAATCCCATCAACCTTCAATATGTGATCAAAAACTTAGCAGAGCTATGCTAAGCCAGTAGAATACACTGTAAAAAACACACAAAAAGGTATTTCATTTTTTAGCTTTTTGTTGTATGTAATTAAAACATTTAATGAACAATTAGACAGTATTTACCACAAAATAAACCACTTCAGAATTACACTTCCGTTCAAAAGCTTGGGGTCTGTATGATTTTTTTAAAAATGTTTTTGAAGGAAGTCTCTTATGCTCAGCAAGGCTACATTTATTTGATCAAAAATACAGTAAAAACAGTAATATTGTGAAATATTATTACAATTTAAAATACATTTTCTGTATACATAGTAAATATTTTTGTGGAAAATTTGATCCAGGATTATTTGATGGAAGTGTAAAAAAACAAAACAGCATTTATTTGAAATAGAAATCTTTCGTATCATTAGAAGTGTCTTTAACATGTCCTAGGTGTAACAACCCTAAACATGTCTTAGGTGTCAGTTAATGTAATAAATGCTTTAATGGTTATTGCTTATCTTTTCTGTCTGGTCAGGTGCATTTTCATTCTGCTCCAGTCCAGTGGAGCCCTTGAGGGACAGCTTCATGGTGCAGTGCATGCTGGACAACATCACTGATGCCCTCATTTACTGCATCAGTAAATCGGGTGCCTCGCTGCAGCTGCAGTCCCGCCGTCAGGCCCAGCTCCTGCTGCTGCTCTCAAACATCAGACACATGAGGTAAAGAGCAAATAAGATGATTAACACAAACATCATTTCATACACACTACCATTCAAAACAAAAAGACTGCTTATATTACAGTCATGCACATTATATCTGCTTTCTTTTTTTTGAAAGCAACAGAGGAATGGAGCACTTATACCGAATGAAATGTAAGAATCGAGTCCCGCTGTATGACCTTTTGTTGGAGATGCTAGACGCCCAGCAATTCCATTCTTCAGGAAAGGTGCAGCGACTGTGGGCACAGAGTGAGAAAGACCCCCCATCTACACTCACAACCAGCAGCAGCAGCCTCTCCAGAGGTCCTGGAGCCATGCTGCCCAACACTGCCTTTCACGACCAGAGTCCAGACCCCAGACCCCTGAGCTGTGTAATGCAATCCAACAACTGAAGAATGTGAAGACTGAAGCAGTCAGTGCTGTCTCTCCTTGTGCCTTATCAAAGTCCACTTTAGATTCTGAAAGACCCATCTAGAAAAATGTAAAAACATATCTGTAGAAATGGACAGGTTAAGAACAAGGCTCCCAAACACTATACATCTGTGGTCACTTGATTCATTAGTTTTGAAAGACATTTTGAAAAAGTGTCATACTTGTAAAAAAAAAGAGAAAAAAAAAAGGTCTCTTTGGCCTTTGTGGCACGCTGAGAGACAGATTTATGTAGAAGCTGCTAATTCTTCTTCTTCTTTTCTTTTAATGACCAATGGAGTGACAGCTTTGACGTCACAAACTTACTTAAGCTAAACAAACCAAAAAATTCAAAGGAAAAAAAAAGAGCAGGTGGCTTGTGAAGTACTATACATCATAAAGTAGCATTTCTGACTGACAGCAGATTTGACAGTGGAATGTCAATATAACGTCACCTGTTTTTAGTACAGTAACTTAATAATCCTTGGTAGCTAAAGTTTAAGCTTTAGTTACCAAGGATTATTAAATTACTGTAGTGGTATGTTACCTGAAATGTAGAAGAACCGAAGAACTTCATATTGCAGCATCCGTGTTACACATTTTTCATGTTACTATTATTATATGCATTATAGCAATAACAATAAGTATGTATAATTACAAGCAGCGCTTAATATAAAAAAACTGAATAGAAAATACTTAATATAAAACAAACTGAAAACAGGAGAAAAGTTACTCTTGGAAAAAAACAAGAAAAAAATAAAATTATGTAATATATTCTCGCAATCAGAGATGTATTTATCAATAAAAATCACTGCTCTATTTTTAATGTTAAAGAAGTAATTTTAACTCGCATGGGGGGGAACTGCTCAGTGATTAGTGGTGATATTAGTGGCATCTTTTTGTCCAAAGATGTTTGCTTATTGGTTGGTTAATATGACAAAAATGTTACATCCTATTTTTGCTGTGTTAAAGTGCTGTAATTGGTTTTATGGCCATGTTAATTGACATGTAAATGCTGATTGTTATAAGCATTGTGACAGCTTGAAATGAATAACGGCCTATAATCACTGGTACGCATTCAGTGCAGGAACTGACACTGACTGCCTTACACTAGATTGCCATATTTTTCCTCAAATCTGTGAATGTGTATGCTCATAGTCCAGTAGACTAGTACATTACATTTATCAGCTATTACATTTGATACTTGAATGTTATGATTTGTACAGTATGTTTTCATTTTGAAGGACCTGAATGTGAAAATGTTAATTTGGCTGAATTAATTATAAAGGAAAGAGTACAAAAAAAAAAAAGTAACTTTAAAATGATACTTTTAACTTAACATAATGGGCAGACTAGCAGAATTTTTATATATATATATATATATATATATATTAAATGAAAAGATGTCTTTATTGTCAGCATTAGCAAACTGTACATACATAAATAGGCATAGACATTGTAATCATGTTTTTGTCACACTGTCATTGTCATAACACACAAATTAAGATACAGTCAGTAGATAACGGTAATAAAAAGCACGCGTCTCTCATAGAGCTACATCGGTGACTGTTTTACATTTCTGGAAGAAAAAAAAAAAAAAAGTAACTCCATGCCATAAAATAAAAATGTGAATCGCCATGCAAAATCTTATTTAAATAATATTCAAAATAACTTTTTTCTACAATTTTAAATTAATACAAAAATAAAAATAAAACACTTTCCTTAGCCTAAGCAAATAATTTTGGCAATATTCTTGGACGGTATAAGTGCAGTACCTTATGCTTATGTCAGTGCTATTAAGTACATAATTATATATGATTTCATAGTTTTTCTTCAGTTTCCTTGGGACAGAAACGGTTAACCAGTTTGGCTGTCCAACACTAGTCTACATTGCAATGAGTTCAATAGTACACTGTTTAGTGAAAAATGAAATTAGCAGCATGAACTGTACAGGAACAGGAACAATCAGCTTTGGCTAACACTAGTCCATTCTGTGTCCTGCAGTGTAATATGAAGCAGATGAAGGCATTAGTAAAGTCTCCTCCGCTCATACAGGCGGTGGGCCGTTGGTGTAGCGGAGCATGGGATGAAAAGACCGGGCAAAATTGTTCGTGTTTGCACAACTGTAATCCTGCTCAGTCATGGGCACCAGACAGGTCAGGCCCACTATGAGCAGCAGTAGGAGCTGCAGTGGCAGAGCCACCCGGAGCACTCGCAGCAGAAAGGGCTGGCAGCGAGCCACAGCAGCGCCACCTTGTGACCCGGAGGAACCAGAGAGAGACGAAACGCAGCCAGAAGCGCTGGGCAACCTACAAAACATAAGACATCAGAATGTACGGATAGATTATAATGACACACAGAAATGTTGTGAGTAGCACAGCACTTCTACTATTCAGTTCATGTGAGGGTGATTCGTTTTAAAAAAGTATCCTTTTAAATCAGCGCGGTTATCGTTAACTTAAACTACAACTAAAACTATTCAAAACTGTTGTTGTGAAATAAAAGTAAGAAAATTAGAAATGTTGCTTTGGCAACTAACTAAAATAAGTAAGTTAATGTACTAAAATAACTAAAGTTAAATCTGAAATAAAAATTAAAGCTATATAGAAATAATGACAAAAACAGACAATAAAAATATCAACTAAAATATAAAAGTAAATGGTAATCCAAAATATATAATATGATATAATATTGGACTTTTCTCAACCCAAGGACACTTGCACTGACAACTCAATTCCCATACATATTAAAGCAAATCGTTTTTATAATCTGTCACTGTTTTGGTATTTGCATATATTGATAAAATTAGTCACTCACTGACAGATGTCCATGTTTTATGGACAAACTGCACACATTAAATATTTTGTTTTTGGACAGATTTCACTTCCATCAAAGACAGTTCCATATTTTGTAATACTTCATAATATATTTCATTAAGAAGTCACAACAAACATGATATAATGCTTAACAAATCAGCAGTTCATGTGCATCTAAATATGAATATATGAAGTTTCACAGCATTTCTATCTATTTAATATAAATTGAAAAATACTTTGTTAAGCATTACATACATGTTATGCTTGTTAATGTTGTTAATGAAAGGTATTAGAAAGTTTTACACAATATGGCTGCTTTTCTGTATTTTTGCTGTAAGGCAGAGATGAGTGTGAGAGCATCACAATGAATTGTTTGCACAACAAAATAAAACAATGAAAGCAACCAAAAATTACATGGTCTGGAAAATGACGAATAAATTTCAGTATTTTCACATGGCATCAAGAATGGAGAAAGATTTTGAACATAGTTCACTTCAAAGGACACAAAGTTACATTGTCAGACTCAATATTATGTGCTTGGGGAAAATAACACATAAGATTACTAAGAATCCTTGACTGGGATCCAAAACAAATTCATTTCCTAGAACTGAACAACTCGTGTGGACTCCCACCTCAGAGGCTCTGGCCTCTGATCTGAATGCTTCTGATGGTATGGATCTGGAATGAGTTCCATCATCCCCCCCTGCATTTTAAAGCGCGAGAGACAGGTACCTGTGACGTGGAAGTCTGGCTGAGGATCCTGGTTCTGACACACTACATTTGCCTCGTAGCTGTTGTGCAATGAGCGAAAGGAAGGGAGGGGTAAAAGAAAGAAAGAATGTTTCAGTCCAGCAAATAAAGACAAAGCTTGTGGTGACAAGCAGAGACCTATAGCCAGGCCATCAGTATAATCACAAACCAGTAACAACAAAACAAAAGGCAGCAGCAAAATAGGTGGCAATGACAAAAAAAAAATCTTGCAAGGTGCAAGAAACCTGGCTTTCCACACAGACACCTTCAAACAAATCCACTAAAATTTAGCATGGATCCATTTGATTTAAAGCATGTCTGAAAAGTAAAGCCAGTGTTTCTTGTATAAATTTCATAAGTAAAGTACTTCCAGAAATAAACGTCCAAACTAACATATTTATAGGGGGATGAGGAAGTGAGCAAATATTCCAGGGGATTTTGTCAGTGAGGAATATTAAACTGGAACCAACATTTCACAAAATATTCCCCTGTTATAAGCTCAACCGCCTCACTTTAGCAGGACAGTGACCTTCACGGCATGCCCGAAACAATATCAAAAAAGGAAGAGGGGATGCATTACCGATTGTCGTTTAGTGGAAACGCTGACCTCTGAAACAGGACTGACCGATCCAGAAGTATCTGCGTCATCCGTAACGGACCAGAGGGACGCATCCTGTGAAGATCTGAGATTTAGCTTTGAGATGAATGGATATTATGGACAGTGTCTAATGTTGCTTTTTTTAGCTGTTAAAACCGAACAAATGGTCGGTAAAAAGATTAATAACTAATGAATGTGCTTGTAGACTGACCTGTCTGTTCCCAGAAGCCTGGAGCTCTTTTTCTAGCAGTTCCAGGTCGGTGGCCACAGCTTTCAGGAGTAGGCGCAGACGGTTCCCGATGACGTGCACCCTCTCCTGCGCCTCCAGACACTCGCTGCCATGTGCCTGCACCAGCAGCTGTCCTGAGAGCTCCTGCAGACTGTCCACCTTCTGCTCAGTCTCCAACAGCTCCCGCTGGATTTGCTGCAGACAAATGTGTGTCAATGTAGTTTCACTTGGTAAAATAAAACATTTGTGTTTCAAATACATTTTTGCCACATTTGGAGAATTTTAATAACATTTTGACAATGGATGAACTCAAATTTCCTTAATGGAATGCTGGGTTAAAGTACAGTATATGGCAAAAAAAGCAAGTGAGCACTCTTCTAGGTGCCTTGACTCAAATTAAGACAAATTTTCCCATCCAGAACTTTTTACGTACGGTTTTCAACATACAATGATGCTGGTTGCTCTATTCTTCATCTCTTATTCTGCATACAGTGTAGGGTGAGCAGGAGGCAAAATATGTATTCAAGCCATATCCTTCCATACCAAAAAGCAGTGACTTCACAGGTACCTTTAGTGCTCTGTAATGAGCTTGAAGTGTATGCCGATCTAGCCCCGATGCAATTGGGATAATCTCATTTCTCCGACGGTCGATGTTTTCCAGCCAGAGAAGAAGACCATGACTCAGCTCATGAAACTCCTGTAGAAAAGCAAAAATTGTGAGAGAATGACAGTATCTGCCTCTGTGCGTTTAATTTAATTACAATACCATTCAAAAGTTTGGAATTGGTAAGATTTTTTTTCATGTTTTTTTAAAGAAGTCTCAAGTATTTACTTGATAAAAATAGTTTAAACATTATTACAATTTAAAATAACGGTTTTCTATTAGAATATATTGTAAAAGGGAATTTACTCCTGTGATGGCAAAGCTGAATTTTCAGCAGCCATTACTCAAGTCTTCAGGTCACATGATCCTTCGAAATCTTTCTAATATGCTGATTTGGTGCTCAAGACATTTCTTGTTATCATCAATGCTGAAAACTGTTTTGCTGCTTACTACTTTTCTGGAAACATTTATACTTTTTTCCAGGATTCTTTAATGAATATAACGTTTAAAAAACAGCATTTATTTGAAATAGATGTTTGTTGTAACATTACAGATGTATTTACTGTCACTTTTGATCAATACAATGCATCCTTGCAGAATAAAAGTATTAACTGTCCAAAAAAAAAAACATCTTCCAAACTTTTGAACAGTAGTGTAGATGTAGGTGCTGTCTGTGTATGTACCTGACACTGCATCAGAGCATCCTGAAGTGCTGTTCTCCAATCCTTAAGTGATTTTCCCAGTCGATCCCAGCGTGAGTTCATCTCCTTCAGTTTCGCTTTGAGATCCTGGCTCTCCTCAGAGTCTGACTGGAGTAGTGTGACACTATTTAAGTTGATGGACAGTAATTTGGACTTATGGGAATCCATTGCCTTCTGTAACTCCTGTTGAGACACAAGAGCAAAGCTTTTGTTAGAAATTTGTGTGTTGGTTTTAGAGACTGCATTGTGTTACCAAGAAATGATGTGTAGTTAGGTTCAAATCTCATTTTGATTAATCTCTCTTGTTAAATTGCTCTGAAGGGAAGGTTCACTTGCAGGATTTGAACTATATACACGTGTTTTAGTTTGTGTGCAAGTAAAAATAACTGGTGAAATCAGATGCTCTCAGATTCTCTGTATGTGGGTCAGCGGGATGCTGTGGATTTCCTCTGGTTTATTTCTGTTGCTGACATCCTGCCTGATTTGAAATACCAGTGTGTGTGTGTGTGTGTGTGTGTGTGTGTGAGCAAGACTTGTTTTACAGTGTAGACATGTGAGCAACCCACACATGGAGCTGCCAGTGCCAAATGTATCTGTTTACAGCTTGGGCAGGGTTAACTATTATATTTACAGTAATATGAAATAGTACATTTGTACTTTTAGCAATAAAGCAAACAGAAGCAATCTAATTTTCAATAAGTTTTTGGGGATTTCAGGTAACATGAGCACATTGACTCGACAGAAATTTAGAAAAGTTTGACTGTATGCCAATAACCATGGGTCCTATTGGTATTTCTAATGGGCTTTCAATAGCAGTTCTTTATGTTGTAGAACAGGAAAGTCCCTGTAAGTAGTGTTAACCACAGACCTTACCCATAAATTGAAAACTGCTTTTTTATTTAACCCATTAGCTATTCCAGAGGGAATCCATAGC